TTTAAATTTTATATTTAAAAGCCTGGTAAACATAAGAAAAAGCATAAATTCCCAGACACCTATTAATAGCAACAGAAAATCAATAGGATATAAGCAACAGAGACAGATAATAAAACAGCAAGGTTGAAGTAATATAAAGTTTCCTAACAGAGAAAAAGCCACTATGCCAGCTAACACGGGGGATCCTCAAGCTGCCCCATAAAACCGACAAGAAGGAAACTGCCAACCTCTCCTATGAAGTCAGCATTATCCTGACACCAAAACCAAGGAAAGGAGAAACACCAAAAACAAAAATCCCAGACTCATTTCCCTAAAGAACACAGGTATTAAAAATTCTCAATAAAAAAAAATCTGTAGTTCACATTCAAGAACCCGTGTAGAATATCATACACCATGACCAAGCTGGCTTCCCTCCAGGGATGCAAGGATGGCTCAACATGTGCAAATCCACAAACAACACAGCACACACAAACATGCCTAAGGACAGAAACCGCATCACTGTCCAACTGATGCAGAGAAGGCCTCCGTCACATGTCCTCAACCCAGTGATAAAAGCCCTGAAGAAACAGGGAAACAGGAAGACTGTGCCACGACATAATAAGGGCTACGTGACAAACCTGGAGTCATTACACTACACGCAGAAAAACCTCCAGCAGCGTTGCCTCTAAACCAACTCAACATGGACTAAGAGCCTTGGTGTTGAGACCTGAAACTTGGAAAACTGTGAGAAGACAGAGAGAAGCTACCACAGAGGCACAGGGAAGAAGTTTCTGGAAAGGAAGTTACAGGAAAGAACTCCCAGAATAGACAAGCGAGATCGCAGAGTTCAAAGGCTTTGGCATGACTAAGGAAATCACCAGCAGCATGACGGGACATTCCACAGAACGGGGAGATGCTTTTACAACACATTAAACAAGTGATCTCTAGAGTCTGTAAAGAACTACAACAACTTCACACACACACACACACACACACACACACACACACACACACACCCCCCAAAACACTCGCTCAAACTATCCAGTCACTAAATGGGCTAACTGATTTGAATAGAAATAATAAGAAAACAATAAAAATGGCCAATAAATTTCAGTGTTAGTATCTTTGGCCATCGCGTGTAACTTGGAACTGATTTAGACTTGTGTCACTGCTGGTGAGGATGGACAAGAAGAGAACCCTCTCTTGTTCCCTGCTGGGACAGGGTGAGCTGAGGAAGCCACACTGGACATCTGTAGATACAGAGGCTCCTCAAAACTTTAAAAATAGAAGCAGCATATGCCCAGTTCCACTCCTGGGTGTATGCCTGAAGGACTGTAGGTCGACACACCACAGAGAAAGCCGCACATCCACGCGGCTCTTCTAGCCACAATAGCTAAGTTCCTACACAAGCCTCGATACCCAACAGACGACGGGTACGGAGAATCTGGTAATACACACAAGGCAACTTCACTAAGTTGTAAAGATGAGGAATTTATGAAATTTTCAGGAAAACAGATCGACCTGGAGCTGACTTTGGTAAGTGAAATAAGCCAGATTCAGACAAATACTGCACATTTTCTCTCAGTCAGAATTGAGACTGAAATATGTATGCATACATTAAAACTATATATGACATGAAAGTCAAAGGGGGACTATAGGGGGAGGAAATTCTAAAGAGAGTGGGGAAGGAGACAGGAGAGGATAATGGGATATATGGGCACATATGGACACACAGACAGACAGACAGACACACACACACACACACACATACACACACACCCCAGAAGGGTAACTATTGGGGAAATAAGCAGAGCCAGTATAAAGGAAGAGGGCTCATGAGGATAAATGAGAACAACGGTTAATGATATACACATATGCATGTGTCACAATTAAATAGTTCCTTTTATGCAAAAAAAAAAAGCGCAAACAAACAGGAGGCTAGAGAAGTCCAGTTCCAGGGAATCTGACTCCCTCTTCCAGTCTCCATGGGGACCAGTCATGCTCATGGGCCACAAACATACATGAAATCAAAGCCTTCCTATGCATAAAGTAAAATAATCTTTTTTATATAAAAAAGAAATCACCAAAAATTGAAACATCTATACATCAAGATTTAAGTCATATGAATATAGTATTTGTTGGAAGGAAACCTGTAAATGTACTTATCTTTATTTATTTATTCATTAAGTTTTTGAGACAGTCTTCTTACATAGCTCTGGCTTGTCTGAAATTCGCTACGTAGCCCAGGCTGGCCTTGCACTCATGGCCATTCTCCTGTCTTAGCCTCCCCAATGCTGGGCTCACTACACTACCATACCAGCCCATAAATGTACTTACCATAAAACAAATAAGAATAAACTAAGGGCGTGGAATGTAACTCGGCCGCAGAGTACCTATTTATCATATAATACCCCGAGCTCAATTCCCAGCACAAAATACAAAAAAAAATAAAAAAATAAAAAAATCCAGCAGAGTTAAGCAGTGACTTATAAGTGATCGATAAAGATAGGAAAATATTAATCTCACAATCTCACCACTCCCACTATCAACAAAGGGGGGGCAAGTAAATGCTAAGCAGAAATAAAAAAATTATTAAGATGAAGGCAGAAATAAGCAAAAGAGGGAAATTTAGAAACAGTGAGAAAAAAAACAAAAGTTGGTACTTGGAAAGGACAAACTAGAACACTCCTAAGACTGATGAAGACAAAACAGAAAATTACACAGAAGGAAAAGGAGGCAATGCTAAGCGCTTCTACATCTGTACATATCAAATGTCAAAAACGGATGGAAAAGACCACCTTCGGTAACACAGTCAAAAGTAGCAGAGGAAGAAGAGGAGGAAGCAAGAATATCCACAGCTGGAGCTCAGAGGTAATCAATGACTCCCTCTGGAAGAGGCTCAGGGAGCGGCTGGCTTCACAGAGCAATTCTCGGCTTCTCAAAGAGCACTCAGCCTTGCATTACACAAGCTGATGGGGATGCAGAGAGGCAGCGAGAAGACAATGAAACCAGCCAAGGACAGTGAGGTCGGTGTCGTCTTAATTCCAAAATTAATTACTGATCATGTTTTTTAAAAAAAATTAGGTGCCTGCCACTTCTGGGGACATCTCCAAAAGTGTGTCAAAGACACATATCAATAAATCAAATAATGTCTCCGGAAAAAGCTGTGATCAACTAGGGTTAGAGAAAACTGTGATGAGCATAGATGAAGGACCATGAGAGGAGGCACTGAAGAGGGGAGGAGGCGACAAAGAAAGAAAAACACCGCATGTTTTCTTTCATATGGGGAATCCACATTGAAATACACATGAATGAATGAATGAATGAATGAATGAAAGAATAAATGAACGAAAGAAAAGAGGGGGGGACCAGGTCGGGGACCCATGATGAGGGACATGAACAGATGTCGAAGGTGAGCAAAATACAATGACACATGTAAGAAAAAGTCATAATGAAACCAATTAACTTTCTAACACTAAAAATTTTGACTAAAAGAATAGCTTCCACCAAACAAATCGGCAGTGTGATTCCCATCTGTGTTAATTTTCTGTCAGCTTGACACAATCTGGAGTCTTCTGAGAAGAGGAACCTCAATTAAGAAGACACCTCCATCTTCTAGGCCCGTGGGCAAGGCTGGAGGGCATTGTCTTGATTAGCGATTTATGTGGGAGGGCCCAGCAGGCTGAGCAAGCCATGCAGGGCAAGCCAGTAAGCAGCAATACCCATGGTTCCTACGTGTTCCTGCCTCCAGGTTCCTGTCGTGAGTTCCCACCCTGATTTCCCTTAGTGATGGATGTAAGCAGAAGCCAGAAAAAAACCCTTCCCTCCCCAAATCTGCTTTTGGTTGTGGCATTTATTATTAAAGCAAAATAAGGCACTGTATCAGTCAACTTGAGTTTAAGTCGCATGTTTATTTCAATTGTCACAGAAATACTTTAAAAGTTTGTAGTGCCTGCTTGTTCTTTTTTATTCAAATCTCAGAAACTTGGTAAAAGATAAACCATTATCCATAAAAAGTGACTTTTAAGATTTGAAGGAAAAAAAAAAGCTTTCTCAGTATTCCTACTGCCCACCCACGGGGTCTCATACGTCACACTGAGACATACGTCCAGTGTGTACCATTGAAGGACAAAAAGGGAGAGCTTAAGGGGAAAGGGCTCACGCTTGTGCCCCATGGATTAGAAAGACGCAACAAATGGCCTGGGGGTCGTGGGGGCCATTACTGTGGTCGCACAGGTGAGAAGGGACAGTGAATTTGGGGACTTGCTGACGGAGGCCAGTGGTGAACAACTGGGTTCACAGTCCATTTTGTTCCATACCCAGTTATTACAGAACACTGAAGAGTGAACCCAAGAGAAAGGCAATCTTCCTCGGAAACGCTGAAACTGAGTGACTGATTTAATGTGGCGGGAAATCACTGTCTCAATTCTTCTCAATCACCTGAAATACAGATTTACTGATCCACCAACATATGCTTAAGATTTACCATTAATAAGAAGTAACCGGAGTCTACGAGAGAAGAGAGCAAGGAAACTGAATATGTAACCCTCTGATGCCAACCTTCAGGGACAGAACGAAGCTGGGCAAGAACAGACGGGACAAAAGAACGCTGTGCCAGGGTTCATGGCAGAAGAAAGGTTTTAAATGTTTGCACCACCAAACAGAAGAGAGTGCTTAACAGATAGGGATATTAAGAAACCCCTGTTGGGGCTGGCAAAATGGTTTCGGCAGTCAAGTGTCTGTCATGTAAGTATGAGGGCCAAGAAAAGGCGGGCACAATGGCGTACGCCTATAATCCCAGTCCTGGGAAGGAGGAAGACAGGACACCATGGGGCTTGCTGGCCAAGCAGTCTAGCTCAATGGGCAAGGCCCTGGTCCAGTGAGATCCTTCTCAAAAGACAAGGTGGGGAGTGACTGAGGAAGATGCCTGCTGTCAATCTTTGACCTCCATAGGCATGCTCACACATGGACACACATGAACCCGTGGACACACAGAGAAATCCTTCACGAGAGCAGCTTACTTGAAGAAGAAGACGGACACTTCTGCATGAGGCTGAGAGGAGATGGAACACTAGGAACTGGAGACAGTGGCCCTGTTAAAGAAACAGTGGCTGTAACGGCAGCTGTCTAAGGCTTTGCCTAAGACAAAGACAGACATCTGTGGAACACATGAAGTCAGGCAGAAAAGAGAGGATCCAGAGCTCCCAGCTGGGGACGCTGTCAGGAAGAGGCATGGCCCTTCCTATGAGCAGGTAAGGGGTAGACTTTACATCGCTGCCCATGTACATCCTGGGTATTAAGTGTGTTCTGGTTCGTGTTGCCATGAGAAGGAGACAAGCTGTCGTGGGGAGTATGGTGACTGAATCTAACACCTGGTCCTCCCAGGAACCATTGTTATCTGGCAGAAAGAATGACAAAAGCAAGCACCAGGTACAAGTACAGGTTGGTTTTCCCAGTTTGTTTTGTTTTGTTTTGTTTTATTGTTGCTGCTGTTGTTCTGCTTTTTGAGATGGGGTTTCTCTGTGTAGCCCTGGCTGTCCTAAAACTCACTCTGTAGACCAGGCTGGCCTCAAACTCACATCTGCCTCTGCCTCCCATGTGCGGGGATTAAAGGCGTGTGCCACCACTGCCCACCTGTTTTAGACACTGCAGGAGGAGGCAGGAAACAACAGATAAAGGACAAGCTGAAGACTTGTGGGGGGCAGAGAAGCCATATGCCTCTCCTTTGCAGGGCCACCAAGCCACCCAGCTGCCCATTTCATATCCACGATGGCAGTGTCCTGGCTTCAGAAATCAGTGGCTGTACTGGTTCAGAACTGTAAGCTTGGTGATTCCAACTGAGCAAAGACTCAAGTTAAGCAGAGGAAAGGAAGCTGATAGTGAACAAATGGCTAAGCAGTGGCTTTTGGGAGCGAAAACCCAAAGATTATTACTCACTCTGGAGACAGAGCAGATCCAGGGCCAGGCATGAACTCAGTAACAGGAGGTGCAGTAGGGGTGTAGGGGTGAGAGGGCTAACAGACGCCGTCCGACCCAGCCCCACTCCCTCCTCTGCTTTTCTCTCTCTGCTGATCTCTGATCTACTCAGGGCTGACTTTCCCACAGCCTGGCTGTCACCTGTCCCTTCCCCGTTTACTTATCTACAGTTCTCCGGCGCTGAATTCAACCTGAGTCCTTTGTCTATGCCCTACTGTTTAGCATCAATGTGCCTCTCTACATCGGCGGCTCAACCTGAACACTTACCCCTCTCCAAACTGCTAATCCAGCTCAGACTATTGCTCAGCCCGCCTCCTTAGGGTCACCAGATTTAATGAAGAACACAGGATGTTCAGTGAAACTTGGAGTTCAGAATATAAATAATTTTTAATAGGAGTATGTCTCATGCAAAAATCTGTATTTATTTGGCAATCGTATCCTCCACCCCCATCAACACATGCCATTACCTCACCCATTCCTTAATGTCACACTCAAATGTCATCTTCATCATGAAATTTGTCCCGATTCTTTCAAAGGAGTATCCCTTCCTTCACTAACCCATCAAAATCCATGCTGGGCTGAGATGAAAACTCTGAAGGCACAGGGCACATCTAAGGGACTCTCAGGCTAGAGGAAGTCACAGGAAAGGGGTGAGCGTTCGGTGCCACGAAGCAATAAAGAGACAGACATCTTCCGCAGCTCGGACTGAGGGTACTATACTGTAGGTACTACACTGTGGGCACTACATTATGGGTACCATACACCCTGGGCAACACACACTGTGGGTACCACATAATATAAGTGGGTGGCACTTATATTATGACAACTTCTAGAATAAAGAAATATGGCACTCAAAACTTAGAGCAGACAGTAACTCAACCACTTGCTGGATGAATGAAATGCCTTCAAACAGTAGTCCAGATAGAGGCTGGAGGGAAGGCTTGGGAGACAAAGCACTTGCGCTGTGAAGACTGAAGTCTGGGTCCCTAGAACGCATATAAAAGCCAGGCAGATATGCTGATCAGTCATGCCGGCACTTGGGAACCAGACAGGGAGCCCCAGGACAAGCTGGCTAGCCAGGCTGGCTGGAATGGGTGCATGGGAGCATTCTGGATTCAGTGAGAGCCTTTGCCGCAGTAAAGTGGAGAGCGATCAAGAGAAAAACCTGACATCAGCCTTGGACTTACACGCCCACACATAGACTGCGCACACCTGCACACACACACACACATCCCCCGCCCCCACGAATTACTCAAGATGAATACATTTTTCATGAACTCTATTTCTCTTTCTCGCTTAACTTCTGGCTTAGTTCTACAGACACCACTTGGCCAGCTTTTTCAAAACCACACTTCTTTCTTTAAAAACAAGCACTATCTCCAAAATAAAGGAAACAATGAGAGCCCAGGGAATGAGCATTAACTTGGGAGGTTAAGACAGCGGTCGCCTGTCAAGGCAGCACGCCACTCACCACGCGCTGAGCCGCTATGAGGGCTGCCAGAGTGCTTCGTCCCGGCGCTCCCGGGGCACAGAAGGATAGCTGGACTTGGCTCCCCTTGACGGTAATGCCATCTGCCACCTGCTGAACCTCTTCGGCATGCTCTGCTGTGCTATATTCAACCACTGCAAAGCTACCACCATGACCGCCTTCATCCTGTGCAAGCTGACACCACACAGCACATTAAAAAGAGATTCTAAAACTGATTTATGAACATTCGTTTGTAGTAATCATTTCCAAAGTCAACATCCAGTTCCTCAGGCTGTACTGGTGACAATACTAAATTTCTTCCCCAACTTACTTAGATACAGTTGTTCCCTGAAGACAGGAATTTCAACCCAGTGTTTTCATTTTCTAATTTAACAGTCACCAGTCTCCTACTTATTACGAAATATACACACACATTTAGGAATTAATAGGAAAATATAATTAAATAATTACATTAAAACTTTCTTGAAAACAAGTCATCAGATTCATGGATAATGAGACACTGATTATTTGACTACATGTCAACGAAAAACGGTGTTATCAAAAGAAGATGGGTGTGAGGAGCCACAGTCAGCTTTTATTTCAACATACTAAGTGAATCCCAGGATTCTGGTAAAGCATACAAAATAAATCGTATTTAGGAAACGCATGCCTATCATCCATCATCCACAGCACACAGCCTTCACCTCTCAGGATGGGCTCACCAGCTTGTGGGCGTGTGTACACTTGTGGGCGTGTGTAGGGCGACAGTAAAGGCCTGGCTCTACAGACTTCCATGGAGAATGCAGGAAAGAAGGGATGTGTCACTACACAGCTCCAAGACTCGGGCACATCTGAATGATCTTAACAAATACGCTGACACGCCAACGTGACAGACGTGACAAAATCAAGCTTGTGTCTTTGAGAAGCCACAAACACACAATGTGTGTTTTTTTTATCACATGCTAATATTACAAATAATACTTCATAGTATTTTTTATTATTTTAAAACTTAACTTTTGCTTTCTTGTTATACTCAGCCAATTTTCCAGTTTTCCCCTGAAGGATCTTGAAGGATCTTTACTCCTTTAAACTATCCTAAAATGTGTTTTTCTTTGCAAAGCTTTTTCCAAATGTGGAAGGCAAAGGAAAAATACCCACCTCTTCCAAATATTCCTCTGAGAGCTCAATTCCTCCTCTAATTCAAACCAGATCTTCAGATCAGAGCTGTAAAAGTCAGCAGTCCCTTTGGTCTCCTGACTGCAAGAGTCCATCTCCCGCCATTCTCTGCTGACTGCCGCGGACAGGAGCCTAACCTCGACATCCATGGAGAAGAAGCTATGCAAATGTTGCCTGAGTAGATTTCTGAAGCGTACTACTGCCACTCTTGTTTCAGTAGGATGACTGGTTTTGTTTTTGTTTTGTTTTTTGAGAGGGGTTTCTTTGTGTAACAGCCTTGCCTGTCCTAGAACTTACTCTGTAAACCAAGCTGTTCTTGAACTCAAAGAGGTCTGCCTGCCCCTGCCTCCCAAGTGCTGGGATTAAAGGTATGCACCACTGCTGCCCAGCATTCATTCTTATCTAAGACATAGCACCTGAAGGCTTCCAAAATAAATCTCTTTAAAACCACATCAGCAGTGTTAGAGTGGGCCATGCAGCTCAATACCAGAACTATTTAAAGACATTTCCATTATTCTGAAGCATTTTAGCAGAAGCTAAGGGTCACTCAACCAAACAGTAGCAAACAGATTCTACCACCACACAGCTAAACATGGTGACCTGTAAGGTTCCTGCCAACTCCTACGTTCACAGTTCAGATCATGTATCACATGTATCACAGTGTGACAGATGGCTCTGTCCCCCACATTTGCTCCAAAGGTCTACCTCCGGAGAACTAAAGCCACACACAGGCTGGATAATACTCAGGACAACAGCTCTGTATGACTCTCAGTATCCAACAATATCAGCATATCACTGAGGCAATCCTCTCCAAGAATTGAGCAAAGACTGGGTCAAAGGTTTGTCACAAAGTACTCTAATTACCTACAAGTCTTAGATGGTTTCTTTAATGCTTTGCTGGGACGGGGAGGGGGAGACAACGATATAAGAAAAAGGAAGATGGGGCCATTTGTCTCAACTTTGCATACTGCTGCATAATCTCCTCACGTGCAGAAGCTAAAAAGGGCCAATCTCGTAGAAAGGAGGGAACAGACTGGCAGTCACTGGTGGAGAATGGATTCACCAGTAGAGAAGTTGGTTACAAGGCATGAAATCTGAGTTAGATAGTAACGCGTAAGTGCAGGCAATCTATTATAAAATCTGCTGCATCACCATTAACAATACACCGTATTCCTGGAAAATTCTGAGAGTGGATGCTGAGCTTTCACAGAAGATGGTAACTCTGTGGGTAGTGCATGGTCAGTTGGCTGGCTTTAGGCTCCCCACCATGTGTGCATACTTCAGAGCATCACGCTAGACATGACAAATGCATACAATGTTATCTGTTCATTTAAACACCACATACACATGTGCACAGCCTGACTCTAAAATTTTCATTGTGCTATACAAATTTGGCAAACATTGGGTGAGGGAAAAAAAAGAAAGGGGAGAAAGGAAGAGAGTTGGGACAGGAAACATGGAAGTGAAGGGAGGGGGCAGAAAGGGGGACACGCAGGGAACAGAGGAAGAACTGGCCGGCTGCCATCAGAAAGTTGCTGGGCTCCAAGCAGTTGTGAGGATGCGTTTACTACAATAAGGTGCTTGGAAACGCTCCCCAGGACGGCCAGGATCTTCTCCGCATGCCTCACCCACCACAACCCCATTCAGACAGAAAGAAGGGCTTGCCTTACACTTTATCCAAGTTTTCCAGCCTTCCCTTAGGTCACGCTTCATGGAGGATGTGTAAGTACCAGTTCACCTGTCAGCCATCTACAAAACTGTGAAGCACTGAGACACAGAGTTCTACGCTCTTTGTTTCTGACATAGCTTAGCACTGGCCCAGAGAAAATGGTAAAACCTGAGTCGGAGAGGCAAACGGCTTAATGGATAAACGCTGGACAACTGGGTGGAAAGAGAGGGGAATGAGTAAGCGATGGATTTGCTAGGACACAATGAACCAAAGCAAGAGAGCTTGGCCCATCAGCAAAGGGGAATGTGTTGGGGGCTGCAGACCCTTAGACCCCTGACTTAACCCTTTGCCTGCCGGAGTGAACGGCCTGTTTTCCTGCGCTTGCACCTGCTCTGAGCACGAGACCCTCATGAATTCCTGATGGCAGGGGAATGGTTTCTGGTGGGGTTTACAGCTGGAAAGTCCCAAGAGCTGGGGCATGGCTATCAGTTAAGGATCCCTATATCAGCTTCCCTGGAGCACAATAAAGTTGGCATTCTTGTTTCAAGGATGACCCGTGTCCCTGTGTCTCTGTCTGTGTGTGTATGTGTCTCAATCTCTAGCCCCTTGCCCAGCTCGTGAACCATCCCATAGTGCACGCACTACATGCATGACTTAACATGTTTTCAGAGTCCTCATTATAGACTAGAGAAGAATCAAACTCACCCCTGTGATACTGCATGGATACAACAGATAAACAGGCACACATACAGACATCGATGAGCGATGCATGCAGCTATTTTTGAATCCCTCAAATGAAGTCTTAGCAACACATACCTGGCAAAACACAGGCCTATGGATGCCAGAGAAAAGTTGCAAGAGCTCTTCGGAATCCCTGTAGTCACTGGGCAGTTTATCTATACAAAGGCACTTAGAATGGATGAGCTCCGAGGCCAAGAGGTTAACATCCATCCACTGTGCGAAGAGCGCCGAGGCCCCCATCTGCCGGCCCAGCAGCTCCAGTCTGGCCTTGGCAGCGAAGTCCTTTTTCATGTACTCCACAAACCCGTAGCCTTTGGAGTGGCCGGTAACTTCACTGTAGACCAAAAAACACCTCTCGATGTTGCCGTACGCACGGACGAGCTCTTCAAACTCTTCCAGCGTGAAGGAGATGGGCAGGTTGGTGATGCACAGGAGGGCGTCTGTGGGCTGCAGCTGCACGATCAGCTCTCGGCCTCGGAAAGAAAACTGATGGAACCTCTGGATGGCGCTCTGCGCCTGCTCCCCGTTCAGTAAGGTCACAAAAGCTGCAAGATAACCAAGGGAAGTGAGAGGATTTGGGGTCAGTGTTTCCATCCGTCGCCTGCTGTCACCCGCAGTAGGACAGACATTTTATGCCTAAGGCTTAGTATATACAAAAATACACACCTTTTTATTAAGCAAAATTATCACAAAATATACCTCATTTAAGTGTCGCTATCTAGTGCATGCTGGCCGGGAACTCAGTGTACAGACCAAGCTGACTTGAAACCCAGAGATGCAGCTGCTGTGTCCCCGGCCTCCCCAGTGCACCACCGAATCTGACCTCAATGCACTCTTGATTTTGCTGCTGTTGTTTAGAAACTGCTTTTCTAGTGGGGGCGTGGGAGAGCTGCACATGTATATGTGCAGATGTATAGGGAGGGCAGGCCTGTGAGTGCACACGGAGGTCAGAGGGGGGGGCGCCAGTGTTCTCTGCCACCTTATCCCTCTGACTGAGGTAGAGTCTATTCCCTCAGCCCACACAGAGCTATGGCTACAGTTATGGGAGCTTGTGAGCCCATGCTTGGGTAGTGACGTAGGTGCTGGGATTCAAACTCAGGTCCTCATGATTGCTCAGAAAATGTCTTTAACCACTGAGCCATCTCTCCACCCCTGCCTTTTAAATTCTAATTTATTTTGTTAAAAAAAAAAGTCATTGTCTTTTTTTAATGATGAGCCTCAACTCAACTAATTTCACGGCCAGTTGCTCAAATAAAATCCTGAGTAATTCTACTAGGAATTCCACCATTAGATCCATACTCTGAGGGATTTTGCACAGGGTATTTTCTAAGCCCCCAACAACAACGCAAAGTTTTATGAGGCCTTTATACAAACCATCAATTGAAAATGAGGTAACAAGGCCTCTTCCCAGAAAGAGCTAAGAAACTTACTTTCATAGAAGGACCTGAAAAACTGAAAGTACAGTAAAAGATGCCAAAACACCTAAAGGAAACCAGTTTTTCCCACAACCTTCTCAGAGCACTAAAATCATGAAGACAGTGAGCGGCTTGGAATGAGCTCACTCCCAGCACCCGAATGACAAAAGAGAACCAACTGCCACAGCTGCCCTCTGCTCACATGTGCATTTGCACACACACGCATGTACACACACGCATACACACACGCATACACATACACGCATGCATACACACACACTGCCACAGCTGCCCTCTGCTCACATGTGTGTTTGCACACACACACTAATCAGTGTCATTTTTAAACATATGATAAAACATCAGACTGGCTAGCTTCAAAGAACCGATGTGTAGCACAATTTCCTTTCAGGCCACCAACCACCTCCCAAATCATAACTTTATTCGTTATGCTTGGCCTATCTTAGGCTCATTTCTGGCTAGTTCTTTTAATTTAAATTAACCTGTTTCTCTTTATCCATCCTTTGCCTCGAGGCTTTTCACTTTTCTTTCCTTCTGTATGTCTTACTTTCACTGCATATCGTGTCTGGCTGGCAACTGCCTGGCTTCTGGCCCCCGGTGTGTCCCTCTCTTTCTCCCTCATTCTCTTTCTTCTCTCTTTCTCCTCCTACGCATTCTGCCTGCCAGCCCCGCCTATCCTTTTTCTGCCTAGCTATTGGCCATTCAGTTCTTTATCAGACCAATCAAGTGCCATAGGCAGGCAAGATGAAAATAATGCAACACATGTTTACATAATTAAACACACATCCTTACATTGTGAAACAAATGTAACACACTTTTACACAGTCAAAATAATATTCCACAGTATAAACAAGTGTAACACATCTTTGCTCAGTTAAAATAATATTCCACAACACCCATGAGTGTATTTAATTTCATATATGACTTTGATGAATAAAACCAAATGAAAAGATAACGTGATTTTGATCTTGGGCAAATATTTTAACCTACAATCCCAATAAAAACAATTTTAAAAGCTACCTAAGCTATTTCAGTATCAAATAATAAAATGTATGAAATAAAAAAAAATATGACATAGCCTGGCTGGTGACACACACCTGAAATCTCAGCACATGAGAAACAGACAGGAGGACCATAAATTCAGGGCAATCCTGGGCTACATAGTTGTGACAAGGAGACCTTGCCTCAAACAAACAACAAAGAAACAGGCGTGACACCGGTGAGCTGCAAATTCCTGTTTGTTAAAATGAGAGTGTGAGGGTGATCATCCCACTGGTGACCAGGGTTGACTCAGCTGATCTGGCTGCCTAGGAGGGCGTCTCCTTCCTCCCTCGCTGCTCCATGTGCCCCTCCTGAAGCTGAGCACTCGGTCAAAGAGGACAACCTTCCCCAAATAGGGGAGGGCTGGTCTCTGGTCAAGAGTATACAAGCAGTTGAGCTCCCCTGCTAGGACCTCCAAATGAGCTCTCAAAGTCTATATTTGCTAAAATTAAATTTTAATTATATCAATTTATCTGTCATCACTAACGGATATAAATATTTTTGAGAACTTTTGCAAGAAATCCTGAAAGCCTCCAATTACAATACCACAGAGCAATGCACAAATAAAGGAGCTGCTTTCTAGAACTGCCTCGTCTTCTCCTCCTCAGGGAGCACTGTGGAACAGTCCCACAAACACTTGACTCATCAGATTCAAACAGAACACTGCAGGATGTGCTTCAGAGCAAAGACATGGGGGAGAAAGGGAGACTCTCACAGCATGGGCAATTCTGACCTCCTTTAGTTGGTCCTAATGCCCAGGTAGTTCTCGGAGTGTTAGCATTTTACCACGCAGAGGGATGTTAACATTAAGGCAATACGTTTTCCTTTGGGCAAGCTCTCCAAATGCCAAGGACAACACAACAGGCAACTCTTCCAATGGGAGAGCAGGAACAGCCCTTGGAAGAATTAACTCTTGGTTTCCAAAACCTTTTTTAAAAAGCTTGAATTGTTTCGGTTTTTTTCTAGTTACTTTTCTTGTTGACACAATGACCTGACAGGTGCACCTGTCTTAGTTGGGGTTACTATAGTTACAATGAAACACCATGACCACTGAAGGTAGGTAGGGCAGGAACTAAAACAGGAACCTGGAGGTAGGAGCTGACAGAGGCCCTGCAGGGTGCAGCTTACACTGCCTTGCTCAGACAGTTTTCTTACAGAACCCAGGACCACCAGGCCCAGGGATGGCAACACCCATTCCCCATCAATCATTAAGAAAATGTTCTACAGGCTCGTCTACAGCCTGAGCTTATGGAGGCATTTTCTCAGCTGAGGTGTCTTCCTCTCAGACGACTCTAGTTTGTGTCAGGTTAACACAAAACTAGCCAGCACAACTGACCCCTTGTGAACTTGACACACCAGCGTATCATTGCTGAGCCACAGCCTCTCTCTCCTTTCCTGTTCATCGCCAAGATCAGACATTAACAAAGACATCACAGCACAGCTATTCCCAGCACTTGGGAGGCAGAGGCAGGCGTTTGAGGCCAGACTGGTCTACAGAGCAAGTTCCAGGACAACGAGGGCTACACAGAGAAACCCTGTCTCCAAAAACAAAAACAAAGCAGATAAAAAAAAAATCACAGTATAAAACATTTTATGTACTTAAAAAGTCCCACAGCCTTACAAATTCAAACACTTTAAAAGTTGTTTCTTAAATAGCCAGTCTCTTAAAAATACGAAGTTTCTGCATACCAAAATCTCTTTACAAATTTGAAGTCTCTCAACTCCCTAGAGCCTCCTGTAAAATCAAAAATAAATTAAGTGTTTTCTTACTTCAGGAAGAACCAGAGCATGGTCACAATCTGAACAAAGCAAAGTCAAACTCCAACAGTGTAAATAACTGGTTCACTATCTGGGATTCACTCGTGATCTTCTGGGTGCCTTCAATGG